GATAAAATCTAACTAGAAGTAAGTAAATAGACTAAAATAAATTAAAATCAGTTTGCAGCTATTTAAATTAAGTTTTATATATAGATTGTGGCTTTTTAGAGTTCAGATAATAACCGTTTGTATAAATATTTTTACAAATTCCTCTATATATAGATATGACTTAGAGTTATTGCTAAATAACAACAGCAACAGCTTGTTTAGGGCGCGGCACGTGCAGCTTGAACTAATTAAGCAAATGGCACTGGCAGTCACAAACAATACTTTAAACTGTTTATAAACATTTCACAGCGGCACCAACAGCAACAGCACCAGCAGCAGCAGCAGCAACAGCAACTGAGTCATGAAATGGAGTCTAGAAATTCCACAGAAATCGAAATGAAACCCCACGCGAAGACTGTGGCTCAGTCACAGCTGGAATGCCTCACAGATTAGAGAAATGTTTTATCGACAAAGCATATAGCATGGGCCTGATATAAAGTGAGAAAAACAGAAATGCAATTAATGAGGAGGCAGTATGAAGAGTTTACGATCTGAAAACAAAGAAATATATATATTCATATAAATAAATATAAATTGATGCATCAAAACACCTAGGTCGACGCAGCATAAAAGCGTTGATATTGGAACTTATAACAGCTACAGACTTAATTGCTATAATTTAAAATTTAATAAGACATCAAGATCTAGCTTAAGTTAACTGAGCATGTCTCTTACATCAACAGTTCAGGTATATTCCAGTCAGGCACTCCTTCAAAATTTCTAAATCTAGCTTAAGATAATTCAGCGCATCTCTCACATTAGCATATAAACTAGATCCGTTTTCAACAATTCAGTGTATATCCCAGTCAGTCACACCCCACGACAACACTTAAGAAGACTGCTTAAATATTCATCTCAATTTCGAAAACTTTGCGAACTACCCTCGCATAGGTTTTTATAAATCAGTTATAATACAGCATTTGCACTTTATCACTTGGCCATTTGGCCATTATCGCTGTTAGCCCAGTTAGTTAGTTGCATCCCGTTTCAATTGCTTTGCATTTGACTTAATGACTCGCTGGCACGTTAACTCTCTCGTATTTTTTGCCCCTTCCCGACAAATTGCAGTCAATTAATTTGCAATGCCTTTTAGCCGTTGCACAAGTCCGGCTTGCGAAAAAGTGTGGAAAGTTCAGTTTGATTTGCCGTTATTGTTAACACAAACGAAAAGAGTTAATGAAGCTTAACTTTCGGATTAGATTGCAACTCGAGGAAGACTTTAGGAGGCTGCAAAAATGGCTGCAATTATATTTAACTGTTAACTAATGCAAACATCGTTGCAATTAGCAGTCGTTAACATATATTACAGTTAAAAATAGTGTATATACTAAAAGTCAAGGCTGCCAAACTATATTGAACCCGGAACTTCAAGTTACTTTTTGTGCCATAAAAGCAAATCTTTAAGCTAAAACCTAATCAAGGCACAACTCGAATCGAATTATGTCTTACTTCATAAAACCTTTTTGTGTCTTTAATTCAGGAGTTCATTCAAAGTATTTCAACAGCATAATTATATATAATTAGTAATTAACGAACGCTGCTAGCATTTAGCAGAATAAGGAAGCTGATGTAAACAAATAAATTTATGAATATGATAGGCAAATGTTTTTTGCAACAAAGACGAATAATGTTATATAGAATCTAGATTCAAAATCTTTTCCTTAATCTGTGCTTTCAGTATGGTACACTCTCAAATCAACTTCAACCACAAGAGTCTTTAATTTTAATGAACTTCTAGAACGAAGTCAAATTATCGATGCTTTATTTATTGTTATTTTTCTTTTTAATATTTCTAATTATTTGTTTTATTTACTTTTTTATTCATTTATTTATTAATTTGTTTTGTTTGTAACAAAAACGAATAATGGTATATAGAATATAGATTCAAAATCTTTTTCTTAATCTGTGCTTTCAGTACACTCTCAAATCAACTTTAATTTTAATGAACTTCTAGTAGGGCTTCAAGAACAAAGTCAAATTATCGATGATTTATTTATTGTTATTTTTTTCTTAATATTTCTAATTTTCTGTTTTATTTAGTTTTTTTTGTTTTTTTTTTTTTGTAGCTGTACTCCAAATCTAGCTGATAAAAACACGCAAAGCGTTTAATATTTTAGGCAAAACGAGCATCCATAAATAAGAATACATAAGAGAGAAAACTGAAATAAAAAAATTTAAAAATGACAAAAACGAACCACAACTCACGAGACAAGTTTGTTTACTGTGTAAAACATAAACCAAAAAGCGCCAAGCATTTGCTTTAGCTAAACAAGTCCGCAAAGGTATTTTCCTATAACTGCAGCTTGCACTCTTCGTGTCCCTGAAATGGAGCATATTTAAGCGTTAAAGCTGGCAACTGTTTCACAGCGCAGCAGTTGCTGTTGCATAATGGCAACACGCAGATGCACAGACGCGCAGCTAAATGCAACTTAATGCTCCATTGACTGACAACAACAACTGCCAACAACAACAGTGAACAACGAACCACAATTAAGCATCATTGAGATCTGGTGTCCGGTTGCCTTTGCACTGATCCGTTTCATTGCAGTTAACAATTTTTACTGTTAACAGCTAATAGTTAACCAATTGTTGATCTCTCTCCATCGACCTCTCCCCCTCTCTATCGCTCTCTCTCTATCTTGGCCATATCGAATTGCCACCGTTTTTATGGTTATGGCCAAACAACTTTTCAATTTTGTTCACAACGGTTCACACAGTTTTCATTACTTGTTTGTTGTTTACATCTTTTATCATAAATTCATAATTTTATACCCGCTCACAAATATAGAGGCGAGTATATTGGTTTTTGTGACTGTACAAAAGTGGGTGAAAATATGTAAAGCATTTTTGCTATGCAGAAGCTGAAGACTTTAAATATTTACTCTATATACTCGGTTATATTTAGAGCCATAAAAAAATGTCAAGATTTATAGCTGCGCATTGCAAATCGTAAAGGAACTTTAGAAATTTGTGTAGCCAGTAGAAAGCCGCTATGAATAAATCAAAAATTATATATGTAGAGACGTGACAAGACAAGAAATAAAACTAAAACTTCCTCAGTTTTATAGCTATGATCAGCTATTCCTGCAGCTGAACTATTCCATTAATTATACACTTCGCACCTGTGAAGCTTCAGCTTAGGGTATTATGCAGTCAGTATGCTGCCTGCCTACTGGTCCGTTTTCTTTTACGTTCAACAAGTTGCTAACATTTAAACAATTTTTGTAGGCGTGGCAGCTGCTGAAAACCAATAAGAGTGAACTCTAACCTTTGGCCAACGCTTAAGCAAATGCTCCAGTTTGGGCCAAATAACAACTACAACAACAGTAGCAGCAGCAGCAACAACAACATCTGTTAACAACAAATGGCAATTGGCAAATTAGAATGGCCCAGAAGTGGCTGCAACTGGTCCGTGCAGATCGAGACGGAGGTCAGCCGGAAAACACATGAAAAATGCAGCCGCAAAACGCCATTTAAAAAAAAGAAAAAAATTGTTGACAGCGACACAAGCAACAACAACAATCATAAAGAAACAACAATAATATGACAACAATAATGCAAAACCAGTTTGAGCAGCAAGTGCAACTGAGTTAGTCGTCCATTTGCCCAGCTTGCAGCTCGGACTCCATGGGCCACGCAAAACGCAATCAGTGCCAACACAGTGGTTCGAATCCCGCATGGCCAAACGTAATTAACATTTTAACAGTTGCACTTTTTGTAGGTTAAAGAGCAGTCCATTAGGGTCTGTGATTTGAGACAATCACTAGAATGAAATTAGTGGACTTGGCGAGCATTACGTTAAGTAATTTAAGTGTCTGCAAGTTTTCTAGCATTGGCAATTGATAATCTATACCAATTAGTGGCTGAAGCTATTGAAGTATATAAAGGCTGTAGAGCTTCTAATGCCTATTGATTGGCTTAAAAGTTAGCTAGGTACTACAGTCTATGTCTTTTGGTTATTATTAATTATGCAGCTACAAGTCTCAGGATATATTCATTGGTGATTCAAACTTATATATTCTGGTAATATATGCTTTTAGTCTAAGATCAAAATGTTATAGATGCTCTTCAGTATTACTATTAATTTAGTATTTAGCAGCTATCTACCAATACTTAAGCCGCGATTCGAACCCTCAACCTTCACTAAGAACACATTGTTAATAAATTAAGTTTATCTATTATACAATGTGTAAGGTAATATTAGTGTATAATGTATTAGATACTAGTACTAAACAAATTCAGTTACTATACTCACATCATATAATGGAATTCGAGACGCTAGGCTTACAAATTGCCTTGACGTCTTCATTAAGTCTAAGTTTAGCATGATATTATAGTATATTCTAGTATTCAATAATAATAATATTCTATTTAGAATCTATAAATACATTTTTCATTATGGAATTTCAAGCGTTTAACTATTTTAATTATCTGAATATATTAATATAGTTATATTCCACAACTAGTATAACTATATTATATACTAAATTCCTATATATATATCTACATATTTCTGCAAATTTCTAGCACATTTCGCTCCACTATGCAACTGCCTGCGTTTTTACAGTTGGTTTTTCTTGAAACCTTTTTCTCTGTGGGCACTGTGTGCAATCCGTATTGTTGCTTTTGCTTTTGCTGTTGTTTTTCCTATTCAAGTGCTGGGCTCATTGATGACTGTTTGCATTTTGCACTCCCGTTTTAAAGTTCAAAGGTGCTTTGATTTTTTTTACTTTATGTTTTTTTGGGTCTTTCTTGGCTTGGCGTGAGAACCGAAAAGCAAAAAGCAAAAAAAAAACAGAAAAAAATATAAGCCGCACAGTTTGTTGCGGTTAGCGAGATAGATAAATACGTGTGTAGAGATCGAGTTGCAGAGACAGGTACAGCTACTCGGTAATATATGTGTTGATGCTTGTCAGTTAGATAATGGATTTACGATCCATAAAAATTGATTGTTAACTTACTTTAGCGGCCATTTGTGAATGCGCAAAAGGTGTTCAAAACAGAGCCGCAGCCGAAGTGCAGCCGCATTTCGGGACTCGAATCGCCAGCAGCCAGCTGTTGTTCAGTTAGATTAGAACTTCTTTATGTTCTCTTTTTGTTGGTTTGTTTGTTTTTGCTCTGCTTTCAATACTACGCCGAGCTTTCGAGCTAGTCCAAGCGAAAGAGGGATGGCAACAGTGAGTAGTACGACGATACAACGAAACACGACGTGAGCGAAGATTTCATGAAAGAAAACTGAACTAAAAAAAATCAAATTTGTCGACGCATTTGCATGTTATACATACATATATAACTCGATATTTATATAATATTTAATTCATATCTGTATATAATTTTCAAAAATATCACTTTTCACTTGATTTGATTTGAATCTCGTATCGTTTTGTCTCGTTTCATGTATTTATTTATTTATTTATGCAGTTGACCCGCTTTAAAGCTTTGCCCAAAAGTAACAACAACAAAACACACAGGAATAACAACAGCTGTTTGTTGTTGCTGTTTACTTTGTATCTCGTTATCGTTGTTCTTGTTGTTGCATTCTATTCTTTAGCTGTTTTGCATTTTTTTCTTATTGCACTTGCTTATTTAGTTGTCGCTTTTCAAACACCAACACCAACACCAACTCTAATACACTCACACACACATCACTAGCGCAGCTCTTGGCTAAAATATTTTCATGAATTTTTGTGAAATTTTTCAGTTGCGCGCGCGCGTTTAGCACCCACGAATTGTTATTGCTGCACTCTTTACGCTTACTGCCTTTACGCGCTCTCTCTGTCTTTCTATCAGCCGCTACCGTTCGCTCTCGTTGCGCTAGCGCTTGGTTAGGTGGGAGGGGTGGGCGTTAAAAGTAAGCAGCGCGCGTTCCACGTTTTTCCAACTGTTGGCCACAAGCTGCGCGTGTCGACTGAGCGCCGTAGTAGGTCTGCCCTCTATGCTGCGCTTTGCACTGAGCTTTTGAGCGGAGCTTTAAAGCTTTTACATTATTGCCCTCATGTCTGGATGGCCTGCATAGCTTTCCGTGTTAGCAGCACAGCGCCATCTAGCGAGTTTATATTTTAGTAAAAGCTTTCGATCAATTCGGTTGCAAACTAAATAAATGGAGCAAAGTCTCTGGCCAAGACTGATTCACCTGTTGCCATCTATCAAATTCTTGTTAATTAATCAATCTAGGGGCATTCACCTTTTATGAAAATTAGATCAATAACCAAAATACATTCAGTTTTTCCTGCTTTAAAGAGCAGCACGTAGTAAAACTTTGTTATTTTTCTTCATACACTCTTTCTAATGCTCCTTTTGCTTACCTCCTTTTATGAGTAGGAAGACTACTGCTGCGCCTACTACTTTTCACTTTTTGCTATTCTCCTACCCCTTCTACTCTTCCTACTCGCTCTTCATCTACCTTTGTTTTAAGAGAAGAGTGCCTTCTGCTCTAGCATCTCCCTCAACTCTGGTTGCAACTCGTACTCCTCCATTCCTTGTCAAACATAGAACTCCTCCTGCTCTCTTCTCATTCTATTTCTATTGCCTTTTTCTATACTTTTCCCTTTCTTCTACCTGCTCGTCCGCGTCTTTCTATTCTAAGTGATTTCATCAAAGACTTTAATTCATGAGAATCGAGTAGTAGGGCGGCTTATTACAAAAGCTTTTCATGTTTGCTAAAGATGAAGAACATACATTTGTACATAGAATTACACTTGAATATGCAAATATAGAGTTTTATATATGCTTTATACAGATAATTCTTTAATTTACTTAGTAAAGTTAACAAAACCCAAATAAAATAAACTTAAAACTCTTTCTTATAAGTCTTAAGTTAGCTTCAAGTCTACATTTGCATAGAAATACATACATATATAAGATTAATTATAGTTGCCCAATTCTGTAAGCCTCTAATCTGATTGAGACCTTATATTTCTCTCTTCCTATGAGCTCTTAGATAGCCCTAAATCTACATGCAGAAATTCATATCCGACTCGTTAAAGCACTTGCCGAAAGAAATGCGGAATTTTGGGCGTGGGCTTGTGTGGGCACTATGATTTATGCAAGGGTCTCTCGTCGGACACCATAAAAATCGGCTGGAAAAAAGTGAGTTAAAGCGAGGTGCGTGCCGCCTAATGCCGAATCGTAATGGGCATTGAGTTCGGCTCGTTATGAAAGAGAGTGAGAGAGGGAAGGAGAGAGGGAATGAGAGGGAGAGAGATGGGTGGGGAGAAAAGAGTTAGAGCTCTGTGTCCGGCAGTTACTACTCCTCGTATTTTGTTGATCTTGAGAGGGAATACAAACTGTTGATTTATCTCTCGGCGAGCTGCTCGGCTGCTGCTGCTGCCGTCGGGGCCGCTGCCAGTGTCGACGCAGCAGCAGCGGCGACTTACTGACCAAGTTTATAAAACTTTGGGCCAAAATGCAAGCGTCGCACAGTTGCTTCGACCACGTTGCACGCGCAACCGTCGCGTAACCCTTCAAGACAGACACAATACCTATATATATATATAGGTTTTATATGTGTATATAGAAGCGAAAACAAACGAAATTTTGTCGTGCGGTCGTTGAAGAGCGTTGAAACAGCAAAATAAAACGGGTTGCAGGGCCCAGGGCCAGGCATTGCGCTTTATCAGCCAACAGCTGAAAGAAAAAAAAAACAAAAATAACATCATCATCAACGAAAACGAAAGTCTGAAGCAACAGAAATAAAGTGAAGTAAAAGAGATAAAAGACACACGGATCTTGAGATCTCTAGTCCAATAAACGGCATTACTGTAGCACTCGATGCGCACTTGAAAGCGAAGTGAAAATTAGTCGCATGCCAAAGTGAAAAAGAAATAAAAATTAATCAGAAAAAAGCCACAAAAAAAACCCAAAAAAATCTCTGATTATACTCAGATATTAAGTTTCATATAGCATATGAAAGAAGAGTAAGTGCTCTTAAGTGTTCTGTGCTTTATTGCAAACAAGTGTCAAAAAAATAGTTGTTAATTGAACATTTTTTGTTAAAAGTTATCGACAAACTGCGCTCAACGACGCTCTCTCCCGCGCTCTTTCGCTCTGATCTGCACAAGTCAATATTATATAAGAGTCCCCTCTGCGCTTCTCATTACCACACACTCATACATACATACAGAGAGACAACATCTGCCAAGAAGCAAGCCAAACAAAAACGCGCTGAGGAAAGCGAAATATGCAAAACGCTTTAACGATGCAAATTTAGTTGTTTTTTTTATTGTTGCTTCTTTTTAGCTCATTTTTTGTGACACTTTTTGAATGCGTTCAAAAGTCTTGCGGTGCGACTCGGCTTGCAGCACACGACCTTAGTCAATGCCAGCTGCGAATTTTCCCCGCCTGCAAAATTATTCTCGGTCAAGCGACAACAACAACGACTTCGCGTCGGCTCCCGCTCTTGCTGTAATCAACTATTAAATGGAATTATTACGTGTCTCGAGCTCGAGCACCAAAATGAAATCGAAAGCCCAGCAGGGCGCACCTGAAACCAGCTCAAACTTGAGCTCCACTTTGAGTTTGATTTTGAGTTTCGGCTTGAGTCCAAGTTTGAGTCACGATTCATTGGTCAGTTGAGCTCAAAACTTGTCGGGAGATGTCTTTATAGTTGTTGTCGAGCTAATGTTGCTGTTGTTGTTTGTTTTTATTGTTGTCAATTGAACCTTAGTCGTTGCGTTGGCTACGAAATTGGGTTGAGTTTGATTTTTGTTGCTATACCCATTAGCTATTAAAAATAGGTAAGCCAAAGGGTTTGCTATGGTCAACAGACAGATTGAGCTAGAGCATGTGGGGTCTACAAATATTTCCTAGCTCTAAGTATATAAATATATAAATAACAAACAACTAAATTATATAAAAATGTGCACTTTTTTCATAAAGCAAAAATATAAAACACAAACTTAAAAATAAAATAAAAATTAATATGTAAAAAAATGAAATTACAAAAAAGAAAAATATACAAATGTAAAAATAATTACAAATAAAAATAAAATTCAATAAAAATTTACATTCATTTCATAAAGAAAAAAATAAGAATGTATAAATAAAAAAATGATATTACAAAAAATAAATGTATAAAGATAAAAATAAATTAAATAAAAATAAGTAATTCAAGCACTTTGCTTTATTAACAAAAATAAAAAATCAAAACAAGAGTAAAAAAATGTAATTAAAAAATAAATGTACTTGATTCAATAAAACAAATATATAAAAACAATTTTAAATAAAATATAAAAATTCAAAAGTTTTGAATATACTAAATTAAAATATTTTATAAATTAAAAAAATTTTTCAAAGTAACAAAAATGACTAAGGAAATATAAAAAAGTTAATAAGCAATTATTATAATTTTATTTTCGATATAATTCATTAGAAATTCGATATATTTATATATAAAAGGGCATTTTTTAGTCCATCAATTTGTGGCCAAACACTCCTAATTGCTTTTTTATTTTGCTTTTGCTTGAGCTTTTTTGTTTATCTTTTTGTTGCCTTCCGAAAACAAAACTTTTACTACGCTTGCTGATGCGTTTGTGAAAGAGTCAATAAATAAATAAATAATAAAATAGATTTATAAATACAAATGTGTGTGAAAGAGTCAATAAAAATAAATAATATATATATAAGTGTGTGTGTGTAAGCCTAAATAAAATTATGATAAACTGAACTCAGTGTTAAATGTTGCATAACAACAAAAGGAAAATAAAACAAAAGACACAAAATTGCAGCGGCTTAAGCGGCGTATGCGCAATATTCTAATTAGAGAGCATTCGCGAGAGAGCCGGCGTGGGCGTGGCAGGCAGTTAAACAAATTAGCTAATAATACACATATATATAAAAATATATATATTTTAACTTTTCGTTTACTTCCAGCCCAAAAAAAGTGGAAAAGCAAAGTAAACACCAATTGGTGTCGACTCAATTAGCACAGTTCACAAAGTTAATTGAAATATATATTAATATACATGTGCATACGTAATATATATATATATGGTTATTACCAATAAATAGTTGGCTACTCCAGTGACCTTCAGGCTAGCCCAAAAAGCCAAAGCAAGCGGGCTAAGCTAACAAGCAATCATTGCGTAGCTGCGACACACACAACATAATCACAACAACAAATAAAGCAAGGTAACAGTTAGACAACATGGAGCGGATGGAGCTCATGGCGTGCACCTTGGGGCTGTTGTCTTTGATGGGCGTGGCCAAGGGCGCCACCAACCAGAGCAACACAGCGTCCCAGCTATACTGGCAGCAACAACAGCAACAATTGAAGTTTTCAATCGATTTTCAATCAATCGTCGATGATTTGCATGAACCGCATTTAACGCGCACTTCGGTCATCTTTGGGCTGACAAAGGTTGTCAATGGCAGCCAGGTGAATGCTCAGTGCGAGGCGCATTTGAGGCAGGTGCAACGCGGCATACTCAGCAAACAGCCCTGGGCAATGAAAGGTGAGTGATTGACTGATTGAATGAGTGATTGCTTAACTAGAAGATTCATTTTAAATGAATGATGGACAGACTGACTGATTGAGACTGATTGATTGACTGCGGATGGGGGGTTCAGCTGAAAATCTTCAATATGGCATAGTAAATTAGGTTTGTTAACTAACTGTTTGAGTTGATTGATTGACTGGTTGACAGACTGACTGATTGACTAATGATAGAAGGTAAAACTGGATACTTGGATCTAGTACTAAGCTGGCTTCTTTAGCAAACTGTTCAAGTTGATTGATTGACTGGTTGACTACTTGATGGATTGACTGACTGACTGATTGATTGACTGACTGATTGATTGACTGACTGATTGATTGACTGACTGATTAATTGACTGACTGATTGATTGACTGACTGATTGATTGACTCATGACAGCCTGAAAAGCTGCAACATGAAATAGTACATTTTCTGAGTTAAGCAACTATTCGAGTTGATTGATTGATTGATTGAGTGAGTGGTCGACAATCTGATTGACTGACTGACTGATTGACCTATGATCTATGCTGCAGCTGAGTTAATGTATCATGAAATCGTTAACTGACTTTGATAGCATACTGTTTGAGATGATTGATTGATTGATGGACTGACTAATTAAAAGACTGATTGATTGATAATGAACGTAGAACTGACTATGTTGATTCTGCTATAGTAAATTGGCTTTTTATTGAGCTATGAGTTGAGTGATTGGTTCACTGATTGAAGGATAGATTGATTGAAGATGATGGAGCTGAACATATGGTTCTTGAAATCGTTGGCTGTATATCTACCAAGCTGTTTATGCTGATTGACGCACTTAACTGCACTTAATTGACTGGACTAATCGAAGACTTAGGATTATGGACTAATGTTTTAGTGACTGACTGAAAGGTTGACCAATTGCTAAACTGCCTGCCTTAGTGATTAACTGAGTGACTGACAGCCCGCTAGCTGACTGTCAGTTCTCCATCAGTCTGATTGCTTTATTGATTTCGAGTTAATCTTGAGCAAGCGAAAGAATCTTATTGGCTAATAACTCAGACTTTTAAGAACCTTTGGCTCGTTCAAGGCCAAGTCGTACCTTGTCGATAAACACGCTTGCTTACATCTAAATTATGCTAAATTACTATTATAGTCAGGCTGTTAAGCATCCGCAACGGGAAGGTAAACACTCAGGAACAGGTGACTCGATGTCAATTAGCATCAGAAAACAAACGCTCTTCGCAAATATGCCACTTGATAAGTGTATTTAAATAAGTGGAGAACACGCATGACTCATAGATGCTGGCCAAAGTAATTTGGTGTTAACAAGGCTGTTAGACTGTGTTTTTATTAAGTGGGAATTGATATCGAAGAAGAACTGAAATGGAATCTAAGGAATTTCAGATTGAGAAGAACTGAAATGGAATCTAAAGAATTTCAGATTGAAAAATGAAGACGAAAAGTTCTGGCTTGAGGGTTATCAAAGAAAAGAAGAGAGAAGAGAGTCTATGAACTAGTTAGGGATTTGAAGCGAGAATGGAGCTTACTTTATGTTGTTATGACAGAGAGAGAGAGAGAGGCATTGAAGCGAGAGATAAAGACTCGAATAGAATCTGACGAATAAACAAAAACATTCTACCTTTAAGTCCTGAAGAACCCCTGCAAGTAAAGGCTTTAGGCTAGTTCGAACTCTGGTACTCTTGAACCTAACTGACAAATGCTGACTAAATGAGTTCAGTGCTAGCTTTGGGTTAGAGAAAGAAATTAAAAGTTAATGAATTTGATCTGTGAATAGAACATTTATGTTACAGAGGCGAAGCTCTTGAATTTTGCGTATCATTTTGAACCACGAAATGAACTTTGAACTTTATTACTAGAAATTCCCCAAACTATTCAAATTCAGAATTTCGACTTGGACTCTATCAATAAGTAAATCCCTACACTTTGCAGTGCTCGACGCCTCCGGCACAAAGCCCTCGGGCTTTGTTTATGGCCAGAACTATTGGCTGGGCAGCCGGGAGGCGTGCAAGGGTGTCCAGCGGCCCGTGGGCATTACGCTGTCCAAGAACTTCGAGCGTGTGATGCATCAAGGACTGATCACGCAGCAGGCGCCCTTCGACATGGACTATCGAGTTGTCTACTTGCGTCACCATTCTCCATGGCAGGTGGAGATTAAGCTGATGTCCGAGCAAATCATACACATTGGACTGTGCCTGCCCAGCGCGTGCTCCTCGCACGAGGTGAAGCATCTGGCCGGGGAGTATGTGGGGCGTGGCCTGTTTGCAGAGAACGACATCTACGATATACGACCGGAGGTGCTGTACATGAAGGATCTGCAGCTGGGCGAGGCTTTCTATCAGCGGACTAGCTTTCGGCTCCTGGTCTCCTGTGTCCTGGTCACAGCTGCTCTGATGCTCTGTGCCCAGCAGCTGTTGGCCGTCAAGAAGTTGACCAGCTCTGGCGAGGATCTGGGTCTGGCGCCCGCTGAATCTGAGCTATGGCGTGCTCTGCACTCTTTGCTGCGCTTGCAGAAGCTGCGGCAGCTCGTCAGCTGCTACGATGTGCCTGGCAACTGGAGCAAGATCTTCGCCATACGCGAGTCGCAGCCACAGGAGATACCCATTATGAATGGGTTGCGCTCTGTGTGCGCCATATGGATAATGATCTTCCACGTGGTGTGGTTCATGTACTTCACGGTCCACAACAAAACTGTGCTCATCTCCTATGCGGAACAGGCATTCTTTCAATACGTCTCCTCCGCGCCGCTGCTCGTCGATGTCTTCTTTACCATCAGGTAAAGTAGCATAATTAGTTCTTTTCAGACTCATCCGTGCTAATGCCTTTTGCACTCTCTGCAGTGGCTTTCTGCAAACTTACAACTTTCTGCGCAACTCCGTCCAGCTGGAGGCAGTGCGTCGCAATGGCTGGCAGCAAAATCTCAAGCTCTTTGGCAAGCTGCTCTTCCACAGATACCTGCGCCTGGGTCCACTCTACCTGGTGGTCATGGCTCTGGTGGATCTCGTGTATGCCTATATTGGCGACACCTCTGTCTACCACATAAACGAACGCTTCGACGAGATGTGCTCCAGGCATTGGTGGCGCAATCTGCTCTTCATACAGAATCTCTTCGATCATCGCGATATGTGCGCCAACTGGAGCTGGTCGCTGGCCTGCGAGATGCAGTTCTTCATACTGGCTAATGTTTTGCTCTTTCTATATGCCAAGTAAGTTTTGTTCAATGATTGATTGATTGACGGAGAGACTTATTTTTTATATATATAGTCTATATTCTATACAGATATAGAAAAAGAATTTAATTTCTAAGTGAAAATCTATAGGCAAGTTATTGATTGACTGAGTGATTGTCTGAGTGATTGATTGAGTGGATTGATGGATTAATGTATGAATAACGAAAACTTTCATTGGCCAAAGCTTTGCTTTTTAACATGATTCATAAAGTTAAAGAATGCAGTTTAGGTTTATGAAAAATTTGTTGATTGATTGATTGAATGGTTGATTGACTGCACAGTTACAATACAATATATTTTAGTAATATTTTTAATACTTATTTTTTTACTTTTTTAATAATTTGAAATTCCTGTGCAACACATTTTTTGAGTGATTGATTGAATGATTGATTGACTGCACAGTTGATTATCTGCAATATATTATAGTAATACTTTTAATACAATTTGAAATTCCTGTGCAATACATTTTTTTGAATGATTGATTGATTGATTAAATAATTGATTGATAACTTGATTGATGAGCGCTTCTGAAAAACTATTTATAAAACTCAAGTGCTCTACTTCATATTCTTAATACAGTTATCCATAGCATACTAATCTGTATCATCTTCGTTCTCATCTCCTTGCAGGCATCCCAAGCTTACCAAGGCCTTGGTAGCTACGTCGCTTGTGTCCACCATAGCCTGGTCCTACGGCATAGGATTGCGCATTAAGTTTCAACTGTCTTTCGACGCTGCCTTTGCCACTGGCACTGAGATCTATACGTCACCCTTTGTCAGGGTGCTACCCTATATCCTAGGAGCCATGACAGCCTGGTCGCTGCTGGAGCTGCGGCCACAGCTGCTGCTGAGCGAACTGCGTGAACGTTGTTTCTGGCACTTGGCTCTGCTTGTCTTCTTTGCCTGCATCTATTCCACGATTCGCAGGGATTTGGGTCCCCTGATGGCCATATCGCTGTTCGTGCTGGGTCGCCTCTTCTTCTCGCTGAGTGTCTGCTGGATGATTGCGGGCAGCGCTCAGGGCAAAGGCGTCTGGTGGTCTCGACTGCTGGAGGCCAAGGGCTTTCAGCATCTCAGTCGTCTATCATACGCCATTTACTTGCTCAATCCCTTGGTGATTGCCTTTTTCTATAGCTTAACAAGCGCCAGCACTCATGCAGACCCGTTTATGCTGGTGAGCAAGAAAACTCTACCTAAAAGCAAAATACTTTTTTAATATTTAAATATTTAAAATATTTGTATTTTACAGTGCGTTGTTACCTGTGGATTTGCTGTCATCGTCTATTTGGCCTCCATAGTCTTTTCTTTGGCCTTCGAGTTGCCGTACAGCAATCTGTCCAGCATTTTGCTGCGGCGAAGCCTAAAATGCCTGAAAGATGCCTAATCATAATGTTATTATATAGAACGCCTACATTTTTCAATTGTGATCGCTCCCATGTACAACTCCTTTTAATCAATAATTTAGTGTATTATATTAGTCGTATTATATTTGTAAATAACATTTAAAATAATAAATTTACTGAATGCAATTCAACTTCAAATTAAAATTTTGGCGCGCAGTACGAGCTGTCTACTATTTATAGTATTTTCGAGTAGATTTGGTATTTTACAGCGGCCAAAAAACGCAATATGTGAAGTGTATTTAATTAATGATAAAATATTAAGCCTATTAATATGAATTGAAATATATATATATATATATATATATATAAATTAAATATATATATAAATTAAATTTATTTATATTTATATATATATATATATATATATATATATATATATATATAAATATATATATATTAAAATTATTTTAGCACTTTCCTTATTCAAATTTATTTACTCATGCTAATAATACACACTTTTTGGTATTTTTTAGGAGCATTTCCATTGTTCACCCACCCAAAAACTTAACATGTCATGTTTGGTATTTTTAACAGAAATACATAACTGTAACGGAGGATAGCCATGTTAAGCTTACATAGCTTGCTGAGCTGCTATCAGGTTGTGCAGTGCACTTTCAATTATATTTAATAAGTTGAATGTATTTTTCATAAATATGTATTTTTACAAAACAATCTGTTCATTTTTATTTATATTTAGAGGGTTTCAACCATTATTATTCAGATTTAAATTGAACGGTCTGTCTATCGATATATCGATAGCTCACTAACAGACCGTCGAAATTGCAAAGCGCGTGCGTATCGGCTCATTCTCTCGTTTTCGCTCTCAGCTCAGCCTATCTCGCGTCTGCCATTTGGTGTTAAACTGTTTAAATTTCTTAACTGTGTGTGTGTAGGAACAAAGGTAGTGCCCAAGTCAGTGGTACGCCGGCAGCTCCAAGAGTAGGTAACGCGCGTACCGAGCGCGTATGAAAAGAGTTGCATAGTCCAAGCGCGTGCGCCACAAAACGAAAAAAAAACGTTTCTCTGCTGTGTGCAATAATATTGTGAAAAATTCGCGCGATGCATTTATTTAATTGAAATTAGCGTATATTAAAAAAACGGGTAAACAAATATGCCAACTAAATGCGTTTGTGCAGTGACAAAGTAATTGAAAGCAACAAAAGGAAATGTGAAAAATTTCCATTGGCCGAGCCGAAGCGACGCTCAGCATCAGCATCAAACGAAGCATCCTTGTGAGTGTCCCTCAGTGTTCGTATGTGTATGTGTGTATGCGTGCCTGTGTCGGCAATTTCTGTGTGCGAGTCAGTGCTTCACCCTCACAGCAGCCACAGCCAATATGAAAATGAAATATTAATATATGTATGTCAAATATCAAGTCGGAAAGTTTGTCAAAGTGCTATGCGTTTAAAGTAATTATAAATATCTAATATTTATAATTATATTTAATAATAATTAATAAAAATTATAATTTAGTTTATGTTGTCGAATACAAAGTGATTAAATCAATTCAAAATGCAACAAGAATAACAAACAACGGCAAAAGCGCATTTGCTCTCTTATACCTTGCAATACTTTAGTAAAACGAAAGGGTATTTTGACTTTGTTATTCATTCTGTAACTAATGCAAAAAAAGAAAGCTATGTAACTATAGGAATAATAGTGTTTTAATATCGTTAATTTCTAAATATATCTCTTAATATATTATGTGCCCCTGTCCCCACTAAAATATTTTAAAAATATGTGCACAGTTTTACAATCATATATCATAATGTAAAATAATTGCGAATTTAATCTCAGCCAAATGCGCTGTCAACAGGGTATTCGTTTTGCGAGTTCCATTTTTTCATTGTTGTCTTTCAATTCCTTTCTTATCCACAACGCCTACCAAGCCATTTCCAATATTCCATCCTTGTGTCAATATGCATGCGTTTGTGTGTGTATGTGCGCGACCGCGACCGCGACGGTTTACTTAATGTGCAAATAAAAGAGCCAAAGCAATGACAGCCGGAGCGCTAACGGTTAAAAAAGCTTCATTGCTCCATTAAGTGCTGCATATAAATTATATATTTAATTAGGCGTGAAAATGATGTTCACATTCATAATTCCAGACATTTATATAAATGTATATACATATGCCTGTATGTATGTGTAAATATATATATACTCAACTTGTACTATTTTATATTTGTGGACTCTCTGCCACCTGCTATCGGCGCCGACAGTAGCGATGCCGCCCGGCGTAGATGTCATCGCTACTTATCAGCAACGTAAGCATCATTTACCATTCGTTGTGCTCATTCTTTCGCACGCTCTCTCTCTCTCTCTCTCTCTCTCTCTCTTACGCATATTCAATGAAAAAAAAGACGAGCTAAAAATAAATGAAATCTAAGCGCATTAAAGACTAGAAGTAAGAAAGCAACAAGCTAGTTGAAAGCTGAATAAAGCTAAATGAAAATGAAATAATCCAAAATACCTCTAAAACTAGCTGCCAACTTAGTTAGCACTGGCATCTTTTCGTGTTGCGCTCTTATATTGGCTGCCGCGATTCCTTGCTGCTCAATTGGTTTTGTGTGTGAAATTTTATTGGCGTGTACTATTTCTGCTTGCTCTTCTTTGACAACTGAAGTTTGGCAGCGCTTTGCATGTTCGTCGCGACGCGCCTTGTGTGCCTGACCTTGAACAAGTTCAGCTGCACAGGCGCTGCCAACGGCGTCGCTATCGTTGCTGCTGCTGCTACCGAAGCCTTGGCCTTGCGAATTTACTTAGCACACACACATACCTGGCTAATGTGTTGTATGTATATATATATAATATTTATATTTATATAAACATATGTATTTGCTTAGCAAATACATATTTGTTATTAATATTTTCAGTAGCTCCAATTGCAGATACGTTGACGTTGACGCTTTCGCTCATCACGTGCTCATATGCTGTGTTCCACCAGCTTCCGTATAAAGCTTCCGTTAGAGCGTTCTCTCTATATATATAACTCTCGCTCCCTCTTGGGCGCGCTAATTGCTTTCTCTCTCTCTCTCACTCTTTGTGTCTCTTTTTTTCTCGCTCTACTCTGTTCTGTTTTGAATTCATCGTGTGAGTTTCATTAGTCATTTATGTGTGTCTTTATTTTTGCAACTGCTTAATTTGTTTGTTTGCTTTAAGTCTGCTCCGAGGAGATATAAAACAAATTGTACGCTGATATATTTTCGTACGTTGAACTCTAAGCGTAAGTTACGCCACAAACAGCCGCACAATTGTTTTTTCTTACGTTTTCTTTTCTTAGGTGATCTTATTCCCTTTTAGCTTGTTATCTTTGACATGATTCATTCGCTCACACACACACATCTGCGCTTGTATACGTGTTTATGAATTTGAATTTTGCTTTTCGGCTCCAAATCAGTAGCATTAGTGCCCCTCTCTCTCCGCTGAGCTGTAGTGCAATTTGTTTTCACACCCAATTAATAGAACATAATAAGCTCTTGAAAGTGCACTTAATGGAGCTTAGTGTTAGTAGTAGTAGTTGACAAAGTAAGATAATAAAATAATATGAACCTACCAGCCACTAAAGATACCCTGTTAAAAGCTTTACCAATAAAATGGGCGTAATCGCACATAGGTTAGATAGTAGATACCGAACCGTATCGCATCACTTTATCATATCATATGAATTAAAAGGTAAACAAACAAGTTGAATTATTAAATACGAATATGTATATTGTGAAGGGTATCTAACGCCAGTTGCCTGCTACTAGAATCTCATGTTTTTATCATTGTTTTAGTTTGCATTCATAAAAGTCACTTAATAACTTTAATGAACTAGCTAATGTACTTCAAGCATTCCATTTTATGACTTGTTTAATCTATAAGCTTAAACAAATATGTTTACAAAGACTGCCAGGCGTTAGCAAATATTATATATTCTGTGTTTACAAATGGCCTATCATTTCTCAATCATCGTAATGGCTTTCCAATTAATTTACATAGACTGCATAGACTGTAATATATATAAGAATTGCTCTTTAAAATTGCGTAGATAAAGGGTATATCGAGGCAAAAGAGATATATTATAGTAGCGAAAAGACATATAGGCATAAATATTTGCTTCAATTTATGCTTATAAGGTATATATATCACGTACATGTATTTGTCTAAGAAGTTTATTAAATTTGGCATATAGGGTATCTAGCTGATAGACTGCCGCTACTACTTTACTCATGCTTGTAAGACGAATTTCCATATATATTATTTTTTATTAGCCTTATAAAAGAATGCAAGAATTTATGGAAATCGAAAACCGATAAAATATTTTGTTTATGCAAAGTTTCTGAAGAATTTTCAACGGGAATATGAGCCAAAGCAATGCTCATTGTAATATCGTTTTCTTCTATATCGTTTTTCTGTAGAATCCAACTTGAGCGATATATAATGCCGTCTGCAACAGGAATCTGTTTATCGCCAACAACTTCTTGTGACTTTATGATTTATAAACGAGTTGTTGACTCAGCTCTCTGCCTGTCTCTCTCTCTCTCTCTCTATCTTTCTCTCTCAGTCAAGTTATATTCCTGAATGCCTGAAAATATTCATATTACATATATTCTCTTTGTCTGACCTTATGAATATATACACAAAAAAAGACAAGAGCTTTGCCACGCCTTCAATTTGAGACATCGCCTCTTATTGAGCGTGCGTGCCTGCCATTCGTTTGGGCCAAATATGGCAAAATGATGGTAATGGTGGCAGAGTAGCGTGTAGCAGGGGCTACAACTGGTCATTGGCCCATTTTCTTGTGAGCCGCGACAGCCGTGAAAATGTAAACAAAATGCGCGTAATTAAAATTTCATACGCGTTGAAAAAGGACAAGGAAATATTAAGCATAAATAATTAAGAGGCAACTTGGGTGTGCCCATTTGCATGCTATATGCGCATAGAGGCATATATATATATATATATATATATATATATATATATATATATATATTTATATATATATAGTTTATTGTATATATATAGTTTATTGTATATATATCTAATATTTTCTGCTGGCTGTTGTCACTTTTTAATTGGCAATTTGCGCCAACGTTTGTCCGTCATCAAGCTGAAAGCATTTGTCTTGCTGACTGCGCTCCTTTTTGCCGCTCACTCGCTTTCTCGCTCACTCCTAGCAGCTATCTCACTTGCCTTATCTGCAGCTATCTTGTGCCGCCATTGAACATGGTTTCAAGTGGTTGCAAGATGATTTTGCAGTTGATGAATCCAGCTGACAGCTGAAGGGCAGCTACTTAAATGGCTCAAATACAATATACACTGGCGAGCAAAACTGTAACACACGTTCAATGTTCTCACTTCAACGGTCTGTATTATCTTTTCTACTTTATGCATGATAATGATCATAGTCTTGTTTTGTTAGGGAAATATTTGGCTCTTTTATCTATAAATTTGAAGACATTTGATTAGCAATAAGAGAAATACAATAGCAAAGAGTAAAAAAAGTCAAATGTTACAGTTTTGCACTGCAAATATTTTTAAACAAATATTTTTATTAAATTTTTTTTAATAACGGGTCCACAGCCCTTTTGATTTTTTGAGGTTGTTTATACGGTTTGGCATACTTTGCGTGTAGCGTCGCACCATTTCAGGTGGAATCGAGTACCAAACGTCCTTCGTTCTCTCTCATAACTCCATCCTGCCATTTGGAGGGGCCGCATATTTCGCAAGCTGCGATTTCAGATGGCTCCATACATTTTCTATGGGATTCATGTCTGGAGATTGCGGTGGCCACTTCATAGTTTGAGACTTTTGGTTCAATAACCAATTTTTCGCCAAATGGGATGTGTGCTTTGGGTCATTGTCTTGCTGAAAAATGCAATTTTCAACAGCCAGACCCATGTTGCCAATGACTCCTCCCAAATTTTCTTGAAAAATTTTTAGGTATTGCTCCTTACGCATTATACCATCAATTAACACTAAGGGCCCAACTCCATTTGTACAAATACAGCCCCAAACCATTATGGACCCGCCACCGTGCACCGCACTGTATTTGCCGATTGGACTGTGGGATTCCTAGTCCAATACCACGTCGTCTGTCTGACTCAAAACGATTAATTTTAGTTTCGTCTGACCAAATAAACTTGAAAAAAATTTTTGTAGCATTGTTTAAGCTTTTTATTTGTAACTTATGGCATGCCAATAAGCTAGATCCCAATTTTCATGCATTATAGCAAAGTTTCTACGC